GCCGTAGCCGTCATAACTCTCCTGGTTGAACACATTATCCATCATTTCATAGTATTTGCATGATATTCTATCATTTTTATTTCTTTTTAAGTGATTACATACACTTCCAAATCTATTGGTATCAAAGAGTGTATTATACATTCAACGTCAAATCTTATTAAAAGAGGAATATTTTGTAACTTTGTTTTTCTGATAAATCAAAATAATATATTATCTTTAAAGTTGAAATGAGATAAGTAATTAGGACAATTACAAAAATACCACTTTTTGTGTGCATATTTGCAAGAATGTCATTTAGGGATATCCATTTGCAAAAATACCACTAATTATAGATTTATAAAACCTATATCTTAAAATTCTAAACTCTAAAAAATGTTTTGACACRTAAAACCRCCTAAACACTRAAAACTAAARRKTAATAMAAKATAATTAARCCAAACATAAATAATATAAAGAAAAAATAATTTTAAAAAGTGGCATTTTTGCAAAGATTTTGAAAATGTGGCATTTTTATAAAGTGGCATTTTTTGAAAATTTTCTAAGTAATTTTTGATTTACTATTTGATTTGTATATATTAACATGAATATTTAAATAATATTAACTCCACATTCAAATCTTATTAACAGAGTAAACAAAGTGTTTAAACCATTTAAAATAAGATTATACCTTAAAATTTTTAAATAACATACATAAGCAACACTTAATTTGATTTATTATTTTTTGACATTTATTTTCTACATAGAGTAGTGTGGAATTACTATTCGAAATCTGATATCCGATCCGGTATCCGTTCACATCTGCTCTAAAAATTAAGATATTAGGAGAGTTCGAATCCAGATAACGATAGTAAAATCTAGGTCTATGAAAAAAATCCGAATCCGGATAGCAAAATTTTAAATTCCGGATATCCGGATCTAGACGTATTAAATATATTTAAAACATATATATTTTACATTATAACTATCTCTTATTAGTGAATCAGTTTGTTGAGTTTAAAGGAAAAAAGATTTGTAACTAGCTAATTGACTCATGTAAGTTTTTTTTTTTTTATAGTTGTATTTAACAAATATTACAAAAAAAACACGAAATAACAAAAATATGTATTTATGGGACCCCAGTTATGGACAAAATCAACAAAGAGCGTAGAGGGTACTATTGTTGCTGGTTAATTACGTAAAAGCCCTCGCCCGAGTCGTTCGCAATCGACGAGATAAGCGAAACCATAAGCCAGATTCATGATTGTCGCGTCGTGAAGCTCTTGATTAACTGTCGCAGTCGCGTCCGTCGAGAAGAAAACCCGAAATCCCTTCACAAACGCCTCACGCGCCGTCGTCTCGCAGCACAGATTCGTCATCACACCGATCACGATCACCTCCTCCACTCCGATCTCCACCAGCTTCTCCTGGAGGCGCGTGTTCTGAAACGCGCTGTACGTGCTCTTCTCCACGATTTCCTCGTCCGGTTTAATTACCTGGCGATCGATCTCCGGCATAATCTCGGAATCGACGGTTCCGTCGAAGATCAGATCGCCGTTCCACCACTCTCCGAGCATGCCGATTTCTGTAGGGGATTTGTGGAGGTGGCGCGTGAAGAACACGGGGATAGAAGCGCGTCGGCATAGATCGATGGTTGTGAGAGCGTTGTCGAGGATGGGTTTGGCCATGGAGGAGAAGTAGTTCTGCATATCGACGACGAGAAGTGCGGCGATTTTAGGATTCGGATCTCTGTTTCGTGTCTCGTACTTTCTGTTGGTCGAGGAAGCCATTTTTGGCGGTGAGATTGAAGCTCTCTTGATCGGTGGTGATATCAGAGAGCTTTAACTCACTGAACTTCTACAATTATTGGGCCGAAATATAAAATGGGCCTAGCCCATGTACGACGCTTTTGGTCCGTGTGAATTACTCTGATCTGATATGTATGAATTACTTGAAGATGTGATTATTGAATGTAAATCCATTTTGGTTCCAGAGTATTATATGTAAATGCTTCTTGGTGGATAATTCAATAAGCATTTTTTTGTTGTATACTATAGTATAATCTTTTAATGTTACATTTGCAGGTGAACAAGTACCTGCTCTAATGCTGTACATATATCTATGAAGCCTATGCTTGTTCATCTTCTTGCTTGGATTGGATAGCTTCCACAAGTTGGAGCAGCATTGCTCCAATGAAGTACCATGTAACTCCAGCTAAAATAATCTGTTGCCATGGACTGTTCAGTATGGATAAAGCCAGCGAGCCACCGATATGGTCTTCGAGCTTAGGTGCTGTGTAGGTAGCTTGGAACTGAACCAGGAATACTGCTACTATGGCTGTCCCAATTGGGAACTTCTGTATCCGGAACTTTTGCTGTCTTCTATATTCTCTTCGACTAGTAGAGTTCTTTTCTAATGCAGTTTTCTTATGAGTCATTTGTGGTATCGAGGTAGCCTTGGAACTGTTGTTGTTTCCGGATGAGGGAAGAGCTTGTTTTGATGGAAGCCAGTAATCTTCACTAACCATGGAAGCTTGTCCTTTTTCTTCGGTTTTCCCGTTCTGTTTTGCCTCTTTCATTGCTGCTACAACATCTTGAAGCTTTCTGATATCTGGATCAACCGATTGTTTTCGTTTGGTAAAAGTTTGACTCATGTTTGAATCTGAACTTGATGGTGAAGATCTCCAGTATAGCCAATTGGATATAGACCTGATTGCTTCTACTGCACTATATCTTAATTCTCTTTGCAAGTCTGTTTCCTGCGTCCCAACACAACTACTTAATATCTGACAGGTAAAGTTTACATAACTTGGCTTTCTCTCTTCTTTAGGACAATGGTAAAGACTCACCTGAGAGCTCTCTCTTGTACTTCTGCTCATGGCTTGGACGTATCTTTCCTGGAACTTCTTGACATCAACAAACACGTTGGAAACACGCTCGCCAACCGTGTTTCCAACCCCGATCCTCACATTGCCTCGGGGTTGCTTTGACATAAGGAACTCTAATGGCGCAAGGTCAGCTCTCTCCACCACTCTGCGCATAATAAAGAATCAATCATGCTTGTGCATATGTAGAGAGATTACTACATCTACCATGGCTATGTGCTTACGAAATGCAGTCTACTGGGCAAGCTTCGATGGCTTGTTTGACTTTGGATTCAGGATCAGCCCATTGAGCAACAACTCTAGCTCTCCCGTAAGCGGTTTCGATAGCAAATGTTTTCTCTGCACACAAAGCACACTTCAAGCAACCAACACACTTGACCTCGTCCACAAACACAGCTCGTTGCTCAGTTTCCGATCCACACCAAACCGAGTAGATCGGTTTCCCTGTGTATCCTCTAAGTTCCTCCAGTTTCGCTTGCTCCTACAAACAAGCGACAATGTTTCTTGATGAGTTTAGTAGACAGAGACTACAGAAATCAAAGAAGCTATATAAGAATTATAACCTTATCGTAAGCTTGGCGCGAGATCGGATCAGAGAGAAGTTTGTATGCCTCGTTAAGGATGATGGCCATGTCGTGGCCGGGAAGTCCTGCGATATCGGGATGACAACGTTTCTGCAGCGTTCGGTATGCTGCTTTGATCTGAGACTTATCGGAGCTCCGGTCAATACCTAAGAGGTCGTAAAGATCAAAATCTG